GGTTTGTTTCTCCACCATACTCTGGCTTTACATCCAGTTTCAGTTGAGCGTACTGTAGAACAGATCAGCACACCAAGGCCTGTCGTGATTCCCCCGATACCGGCGCCCTGTCGGGAGTATTTTTACTTCCCATTTAATTCACCTCCAGCCGCAAGTGAAACGGAAAGAGCGGGGCACATCACCCAACCTCCCCTTTCGTACCTCACAAGCAACTCGAGGGCAACAACCCTCACGGCCGGCCCCGGACACCGACACCTCCCCGCAGGAGCGCCCGCACGCCGGGCAGGATCCCTGGTCCCCCGGGCCTAGCCTCTGTAGCCCCCGCTGCCGCCGCCTCCCCTCCCCCGCGGCTCCTTCCAGGCATAGGAATAAGGGGAAGTGGGAAAACCGGGGGCGCCATTTTGAGCCGGGAAGGGAGCGACCCGCCTCTCCTCGCCGCACGCCGGGCCGCCCCCCCGGCCGCCCGCCCCGCGGCACGGCACGGCGCCCCCGCAGGGCCCGGGGAGCGCTCCCGCACAACAGGCGCCCCCCACCCCTCTCCCGCCGCCGCCGCCTCCTCACCTGGCCGGGGCGGAGGAGCCGGGGCGGCGGCGCAGCACTGTCCGTGGGGGCTGGCGTGCACGGCGTGCGAGGGAGGGGGCAGAGGGGAGGCGGGTCCCGTCTGGGGGCGAGGGGCGGGGGCGCGGCCGAGCTGTCCCTGTCCCGGTCCCAGTCCCGGCCCCGCCGCCACTTCCGCCGCCGCCGCCCCGGCCCAAACACGCTCGCACCCGCGCACACGCACTTCCGCCGCCGCCGCCACGTCACGGCCCCCACGCGCCCCGCCCTTCCGGCCCGCCCGCGCCGTCACGTGGCTACCCGTCCTTCCCCGCCTTTCCCTCCTCCCTTTGTTCCCGTTTCCCCCGCCTTTCCCTCCTCCCTTTGTTCCGGCTGCCCCCGCCCTTCCCGCAGCGCCCCGGTCCGGCCGCGCCCAGCCTGCCCTCCTTGTCGGGGATGTACCGTTTCTCCCGCTTACATCAACACCCACAGGAAGGCTCTCTGGGAGCGACCCGAGCATCTTCCCATCGCCTTTCATTTACTGAGAGGGTGGCGAGGCATTGGAACAGGTTGCCCAGGGAGGTGGATACTGCCATCCCTGAAGTGTTCAAGGCCAGGCTGGATGGGGCTCTGAGCAACCTGGTCTAGTGGGAGGTGTCCCTGTCCATGGCAGGGGGATTGGAACAGGATGATCTTCAAGGTCCCTTCCAACACAGGCCATTCTGTGATTCCATGACAATCCTATGGGGACTGCGCGGGCAGTGCTGCCTGAGGAGGCCACTGAACTCCTCCGTAGCTTTTCCAAATCAGTTCAAATGAGGAACTACACAGGAAAATCGGAATTGCAATTGGGAATTTATCTGACTTTTTAAAACATTGATAAAGCCTTGGAAGCTGACTCATTACTGGCAGAGTGCTAAAAACTTGAGAGGACAGGTTGCTAACACAGAAAAGTCTTGATTGCTTCATAGATGGATATGAACAATATCTTGATTGCTTCATAGTATGAAGAATGACCTTGTGAGAGTGAAGGATCAGTTGGTCAGAAACTATAAGTGGACTGTATAGGAAAGAGAACAGTAATGATAAAGTGTTTCTGCAGTATAGCAGATTTTACAAGGTCTAATAGTTTGAAGGAAATAAAAAAAAAAAAACCTGCTAAGATGTTTAATAAGTTTATCAATAATGGTATTTAGTAATTGGTACAATTTAATTAAGATTGTTTAGATACTCCATCACGAGAGATACTGAATTGAGAGTTGGTATTGCTGTATTCTCAAAATAAGTTTTAGCTCAACCACATATATTTAAATGAAGCAAAAATTATATTATGGAAGGCCTATGGTCAGTGTTGTGCTAGAAGTGAGGCTCCATTATGCCATTCATTCATAAAATATGACTTTATTGTTAGTTGTCCAGTCAGTTCTCTTTCCAATGCAGGTTTATCTCCTCCTGTTGTTGTTGGTACTTTAGAAATATCCTGATTACCGAGGAGAAGGGCTAAATCAATCACATCACAGCTTTTTTTTTTTTTTTTAATAATCTCCATTCTTTAGTGCTGCTTTAGAAATATTTTTCTGCTTGTAAAATATTATAGCAAATGGCCTCGTAGAATGAGAGGAAAGTCAACAAATATCTGTCAGCTTTTGTGTTTTCCATTTTTTTGTCTTTTTTTTTTCACCTTCCCTAGTATGAACAATATCAATGCTTTAACATACTGAAATGAATGGAGTAAAAACAGAATTTTCTTTTTCTTTTCATCTTCGACAGTTCTTCTTTTCCATATACTTTTCCTTTGGTACCAGTTTGGTCCCAGAGCAGTAATTTCCTCACTCTACTTTACTTGGTTGAAGTTAATCACTTACATAAATGCTTTTTGTAAAACAAATATGTGACTTCAACAAAGTAAAAATGTCCTTGTATTCACCAGTGGTGTAGAATGCCAGCCTACTTCCAGAGAAACGTTTGAAAGAGTGCAAGTTTTCTGAGCTGTGAGTCTGCTGAATGTTTGTAAGAGTTGTCCATTAAATGAGGTAATCCTGCCCTGATGTACCGCTTACTTGTCATAACCCTCTGACTGGCTTCCATCTGCTCAACTGGACTGCAGAATTTGGTGAGCAAAACATCAGAATCCTGATAAACAGATGGTTTTTACCATATATGTTATGAGCATACATTCAGGCACCAGCCAGCATCCAGCCAACCTGGCAGCTGCCAGCTCACTCACTCCCCTCCCTGCAGTAGGACAGAGAACAGGAGGAACAAAAGCAAGACAACTTGTGGGTCAAGATAACGACAGTTTAATAGATGAAGGAAAGAGGGAGGGAAAAGGCAGTACAAAAGAAATTGCTGACCACCTCCCATAAACAGACCAATTTCCAACCAGTCTCCAAGCAGCAGCCAACTTGGAAGACATCTTCTTCTACCTCCAATTTCTATTGCTGAGCACAATGCTATGTGATATGGAATATCCTTTTCATTAATTTGGGTCAGCTGTCCTGGCTGTATTCCACTCCCAAGTTTCTTGACCATCTGTCCAGCATACCTTCTGGGGGAGAAAGGGAAAGTCCTGACCCTGTTTCAGATGAAAAAAAACAGTTTCAGTGAAAAAAATTTAAAATATTAAAAATTAAAATATCAAGTCATTAATAGAATAAATTGAACTAAATTCAGTTCAGAGATTAAATGCTCATGTCATACATGACATTTGATGTTTCACGTAGTCTCAAGTGAAGAACTGCTGATGGAAGGTATGATCCAAGTCCATTTCTGTTTCCAGCTGCAAGCTAAAACCTCTGGAGTAAGTTGTGATACTGTATAGCTGCAGAGTGAGTTGGATCAACCAATGATGTCATGCAAAAATTATTCACCAGAAGACATAATTTTGTGGTCTGAACACAGCAAATTGAACCATGTCTGCTGTGGCTGCAGGCTCTCTAGATCTGGTGCACATGAGAGTAAATGAGTTCAGAGAAGACAATGGGCCGAAAACCTCCTGTTTACTAGTAGGCTTTATTTAGGTGCAACATGAAATGCCACATTCAGTTTACACAACAAGAATGAGAGAAAATACAGAACATGATGCCCATAATGTTCAGGAAACAAGAACCGTAACATTCCATATGTAGGGATCACGTTCTATGCTTCTAATATAAATAGATAAATGCTTTCTAGAATTGGAATAATCTTTCAGATTGTCAGATGCATCTGAAGTTCAAGGCTGAGTCGAATTTTGATGCAGGAATTCCGTTTATGTGATATAATTGCACTAACAAAAAGGATGCAAAAGGGATAACATATTACTTTCTTGTGAGGGAGTAGAGAATTTTTCAAAATGCCTTGAGCAGACTTCAGAAGTGCCGCACTAGTCCATTTTGCTGAAACTGCTAACATGAATGGAAATCTCATATGCTTTTTTCTGTTAGCTATAGAGGCAGAGCTACAATACTGGTGTGCTGTTAGGAAGTCTGTGTTACATGCAGGAGGTTCATACTGGCTGGCTAACTCCCTGACCACAACAGTCATGGCATCATGGGTCATGTGGCAAATACCAAAAGTGAAACTGTGCTGAATGATACTAATGAATTTATCTTAGTGGGTCACGGTTTCATCAGATGGATTTCCACCTATTTTAGCATTTCTCTGCAAAGTTCTTTGCTTGGCCTTTTTGTGTTTCAATCCAGTGCTAGATGTGTAATTATAAATGGAAGTTGATTTTAGATGACGTGCAGAATCTCTTTAGTGTGTTTGAACTTCCCATTTTTTTATGTGTCCATCTGCTGTAATATCCTTTTTTTCTGTCTTCTATCTCTGCTTGTGTACATTTTCTCTGTACCTACATTGGTTTCATCATACCATAGCTTATTAAATGTGTGCAGTGCATAGAAAGGAGTAATTTACTATCTGTAAATGAGTTGAATTAAAACCATGAAAGAAACCAGGCGATAACAACAGCAAAGTGTATCAGCATAGCTGATTCCTTCGGGTGTTTTGCAAAAATTGCACTGTTTTACATGGAGTTCTCTGACCTTCAGAGACCTTAAGGAATTTACAAATTTAGTGCCTTGACTGCCGTCTGTGCCAGCAGAGTGAGAACTGCGTTGCAGAACATGGGGTGTTTGTGCTTCATAAAGAAAGTAAAATGCAGGGTTTTAGGCAGTTTCCATTCCTCAGTTTTAGCCTAAACAAGACGGAAAAAGGCATTAGACTGTGGGAATTGAATGTCAGCAAATAGTGAAATGTCAAGTACTGTTGAGGAAAAAAGTGCTGCTGTAGAATGGAAAATTTTGTTCAACTTTTTCCAAACAGATTTCTCTAGAGATCCTGCTTTTTAAACATAGGAGATGACAAACTCATGCTGAAATAAAAAGAGTTTTGATCTTTTTTCCCTAAAATTGAGTTCCACTGTTTTTTGTTAATTCATCAGCTTATCTTTAAAATTTACAGATCTTTCCCACCCTATGAATATGACACTGATTCCTAAAATGAGAATTATAGGAAAGAATGTGTATTGTTAGTAGGTTTCAAATTGATTTATAGGGATCTCTATTTCTGTTGAAGAGAAAACAAACACAGAGAGGCAAAAAGAGAAGGCTGAGGACTTCTGCTTTACTTGTTTCAGCAGTAGGCATTCTTTTTACATGGCCAGGTCCTATTTTTCTTCCTTTGCCACAACCTGCTCCATCGAGGCTGAGTGGACTCCTTCAATTGGCAAGTGTGGCCACCTACCGGGGAAAAAACAACGTAAAAATAAATCAGCAAGTTACAGAATGTACAAAAAATGGTAATATCTTGAGCACAGATAGAGAGCCATCTAGAAATACAACAAACACAAGGAAAAAAATTCAAGTGCACTATTATTACTGTCTAATTTATGCATTACTGTACTTTGCTTTTCCTCTCTCTAGTTTCCTCTTTTTCTGACAGCTTTATCCTTACCCAGTTACTTCTCTCAATGACATCAAATTCCTCCCAAATTTCTAATACCTGAAGTTTGGTTCAAATCACTATTTAGCTTTTAATAGATAGAAATTGCACCTTATAGATGAATAGATCACAAAGCAAGGCATAACCAATCATTTTATTTATTAAACTACCAACTATTTCGCAGGAGCACTCCTAAGTAACAACAAATGTGATTGCAATAAGAAATTAACTGAACACATTAAGAATTTAAAAGAGCTGCTTTAGTTCTCAAGTAGTCTTAGATGTTCTGTATTAGGAGCGTGGTACAGCCATATCTACAGCAGAAAAACACATCTACTTTTGAAAAAGGCCACCAACATGGCCACAGCTAGATGACAGTTGATGCTAACATGATGCTTCTTGCCAGAGAAGACTAAGGTAGGTTCACACGTGCTGGAAAGTTAGCTGATCATAGCACTGATGTGTACTGTCAATGACTTCAACAGCCGGAGCAGGTTGTCAGGCACCCCTGCTGCCTGGGGAGCTGGTCATCGGAGAGCAATTGCTTCCTGCGTCTCTCATCTTCCATTTGTAGGAAAGGGTCTTGAGAATTTAGTTTTAATTTAGCATCCTTCATTTAAAATCCTTATCAAACAAACGTTAGATCAGAGACTAAAATGGTAACAGCTGGTAATGTTTGTTGATTAATTACGATTAAGGTCTGTATATTTATCTAAAATTGGTTTTGCCATCGTAGGACTATAGAGAATGGAGCAGGATGTGATTAAATTTTGATGTTTTGCTGGGAGGAAGGGGAGAGTTTGCTAAATGTCATCTGAGAATAAAAGTCTTTGTAGGAGGAGCTGAAGGTCTGTTAAACAGCAGTGAAACTTGTTCAGTCTTACCCGTGCTGCTTTTCTGAAATAACCCACATCTGCTTCTAAAAGGCAAATACAGTGGTTTAGATATACGAGGTGTTAACTCATTTAAGACAAACAGTAAGAGCACTCACATGTCCTGATACATGGGTAATGCTGTCACCAACCTCTGTGCTGTGTGGATGGGAGCTGCAGTTTCCTCTGGAGGAACAGTCTCAGCGTACGATATTTTATTAATGTGTTTATACACCTGACAACATTTGTGAAAGGGGCTGCAGTCTTTATTACAGTAATAAAGATTTAAAGTTTGATCGGACTTTTGACCGTGTCAGACCTCATTTCAATCTGAAGAAGACCCAACCCACCTGTCTGAAACCCGGTAGATTTCCAAGGACTTAATAACTGGTCTAAGAAATGTGCTACCTCTGTGGTTGCGGATTGTTTGTTTGTTTGTTTGTTTTCATGGCAGTTACAAAATAGCCCAAGAGCAGTTTATTTCCTGACTTTCTCCGAGGAGTGGGACACGCATGGGGGATGGTGTGGGTTCTGAGGGCGATGGCGAAGCGCTGTGTGGGGGAGAGCGGTGGGCAC